CGAATACCCCGAGAAGTTTTTGGTACCCCCCATCCTCCCCAAAAACTCTGAGGAGTTTTCTATACCAGCCCCCCTCACCCTTGGCAGATCCAGAGTGTGTCGGAGGGGGAAGTATTTGGTAATGTCCAGTGGACATCCCAGAGGAATGCTTGAGACACTCTGGATTTCCAGATCCATGACCGCTTTTCCTGATATTTTTGTGTTTTCTCCTGACAAAATCGAATTTCCTGATATTTTACAGAATTTTCGGTTTTAACTGACGACAGACACCCTGTTTAAGCGAGAATCGCTTGTCGAGCTTTTCGTGTGGTGTAGACGTCACTTTCTTAGACTTTTCAGCTTTCCCAAGAAAAAACATGGATATTGGAGCTTCAATTCACTCTTTGCCCGCTGGAATATCCAAGATATCGCTAAGGGTTCAGATACACCTTCGAATTACAAGCGCTTGTTGAAAGGGAAACACCAGTAGGCAAGGAGAATTTTGATAGCTCGACGTTGAGCGATCAAAATCCTAGTTTCCTATTGATATTTCACGTTCAACAAGCACTTTTAAATCACAGGTGTTATCTGCCGCTTAAAAGATGGCGACAAAATGTGATTAGAGGAGTTTTTACGCCAGCCCAATACATTTCCCTGGTTTCCTGCAAAATGAAGACCCTGAGCGCTGGCAAGCATGACGTCACGGACAATAACGCCAAGATGGCCCTGCGGATCGATCCTGGATTCGTTATCGAATGAACTCGATCGATATATCCTTATCTTGGCAATGCTATTTATCGATCAAGGTCTTTCGATAACTGACAGTGGCGTGGCGTAAATGATTGATTCTCGATATTTCTTCATTTGAGGGTATGGTAAAGAATCGATTATTAAGGTGCTCGCAACAAACACCCTGTTCATCGATCCTTTTCCATAAATTTAAATGGCAGATCAATCGATACATCGCAAAGCACGCCGCGCTACTGATAACTAATCAACAATCAACCAGCAGGACAATCGCACTTGTGCCTGTGTAGGTTTTCGCTCCTCCTTTCCAGTAAACGACCCGCTTTGACATTTCGTCGCACCTCTGACGTAAGGGCGTACGTACCTCGACTTCCACTTGAGCCCTGTTTAACATATAAATCCGTGCTTTCTGGGGCTCAAGGGGAAATCTACATACACCCTTAAGTCAGAGGGGTGACGATTTGACGGAGCCACGAATGAAATTAGCGCCGCGACGAGGAAAAGTGACCATTCACGTCAAGGGCGAGGCGCGAATGATCGATTACCGATATTTCCCATTTGAAGCTATGGTAAAGAATCGATTATTATGGTGGTCATTGCCACACCCGGTTCATCGATCTTTTTCCATGGGTTTATATGGCAGATCAATATGTAGATTTATCGCGAGACACGCCACGCCACCGATTCATGCACACACAACACAATCAATTGACTAAAGAGCCTGGTGTCTAGACTTGGTCGACATTTTGCAATTAGGAGCGACAATTTCTGACTCGGTTCAAAAATAACGTATGTGCCTTAAGTTTCCCTTTGCACATGAGTTTTTATATTGATGAGCCAGAACTTGTAGTTCCCAATTGCAAGATGTAGTCCACTTGAATTGACAAGTTCCGTGATTCCCCTATCTGTTTAGAACGATTCCTGGTCTTTGCTTATCACAAATGCCCAGAGGAATGAACTACGGGAATGGATTTCATGGAACTTCATTTAGGAAAAAACTATATTTTCCTCCGGCATTCAAGACAAATTTATTACATTTGCTCATCTAAAAAAAACTACACGGAAACAAGTGCTGGGGGTTATTCCCTGATATTGTGGCACTACCCCAATTTGTTGCTTGATATGAGCAACTAAAGTTGGGTTCGTAACCTGAACTATTGGGGTACAACCGCATTAATTGGGGGTACTATCATAATTAATTGGAAATGTCCATATCATCCAACAACACCTACCTCTTCTTTTCCGAGAAAGACCCTGCCATGTTAGATAAGGAGGACGTATTCCGATGGCACCAAAGAGATGAAATAGTTTTAAGGTGGAAGAGCTTAAGAAATTTTAAGAGAACGAATTTAAGAACCGGGGGAATTGAGTGTATTGAAGGTATTGTACTTGTGTATTGTACTTTAGTATACTTTAGTGTATTGTACTTTAGGTTTTACTCGAAATTCACAAGATGAATGTCACACTTCCCGGGAGTCGTCGATTGAAAAGAGCCTCGAAATACAGGCAGGGCACGTTTATACAGGCTTGCTGACGTCACAGGTGGTGAGACTACAAGCCTAGACGTGATTGGCTGGATATAATCGGTGAAGCTATCAGCTGTAAGTTCAGTCATTAGTTTTATGGGCGATGGCTGGATGATAAGTGAATAAGTTTAAGTTCAGGACGAAAAATGAAAACAGAGTTGCCACAAAATTTAAAAAATGAAATTCCCTGGCATTTCCTTGATTTTCCTGACACATTTGAGGAAATTTTCCAGACAATTGAAGATATGCAAGATGGTTCCAGAGTTGCCGCAAAATTTAGAAAATGAAATCCCCTGACATTTCCCTGATTTTCCTGACACGTTTGAGTGAATTTCCCAGACAATTGAAAATATTCAAGATGGTTAAAAATACTTAATTCGGAATAGTATTCACGCAAAATTTATTTTTCCGGACGTCAAATCCAATATAGAAAGGGAAAAAAGGTGAATTAAAACATTATCCCTGGCACTTCATTCATTTTCCTGAACAGCTTCATCATATTTCCTGACACTTTCATCATTTTTCCTGACACTTTCATCATTTTCCCTGACATTTCCAGGTTTTCTCTGACTTTTTAAAATTCCCTGATATTTTCCGGTCTTCCCTGACTGTGGCATCCCTGGGGAAAACGCCGTCAATAAATTTTGAAACTGGTACTGCGTCTCTTCATTCGGGAAAAGACGAAATCTAAGAACAAACCAATATCAATCAGAGCGCCATGCACCAATCGGACGATGCAAAGTAAAAAGCTCCTAACCACCCCATTACACGCGCCCTAAACCTCGTAGGAAGACACGTAATGCAAAGTAAAAAGCTCCTAACTACCCCATTACACGCGCCCTAAACCTCGCAGGAAGACACGTGTAGGAGAACTCGTGCGGAACGCCCGCATGGATAGGTTTACTCCTCTCGACTTGGTCCAATTGAACTATTTCCGCCAAACTGAACTATAAGCATTAAGACATGAGCCCTGAGACCCATAAGAATATTTGCATAACAGGGCTCACGTCACACTGCACATAGTTCCGTTTGATAGAAGTGCGTCCAATTGCACCGCACCGCGATTACTATCAATTTACGGGCGGGCTCGTGTTACGTTACTCCGCGTTAAACCGCGGCGCGGCGCACGCGTTACCGGCGTTAACCTTGAAAATCGGTTGTTTTTTTCTTTCGTTTTCTCAGTTTTCAATTTCCGCCACGCCACTCCGCGCCGGCGCCCCGCAACAATGAAGTCAGTGGCGTGGCGTGTTTTGCGATGTATCGATCGATCTGCCATTCAAACTTATGGAAAAGGATCGATAAACAGGATGTTCGCAACGAGCGCCTTAATGGAGATGTAACATGTGTGAAGAATTTGCGATTTGACTGTTGATTCATATGTAAAAGTTCGCGAGAAACACGATGGTGCCACTGCTTCTCTCTGAAATCAACTCCCAAGCTCAAAAAAAGCTCTCAAGTTGAGGCCAAAATGGAGGGAATATCCGACGCTATCCTGAGAGTCCACCTCTACAACAAGACAAACTCTCCATGCAAAGATAGGGAGCAAATATATTAGCAAGGTTGCCGTGTTTTCAGTTTTGGAGTCCCCAAATAAAGTGGCAGCCCTGTCAATGTATTTTCTCCCTATCTTTGCATGGAGAGTTTGTCTTGATGTAGAGGTGGACTCTCAGGATAGCGGGGGATATCCCCTCCATTTTGGCCCAAACTTAAGGGCTTTTTTTGAGCTTGAAAGTTGATTTCAGAGAAAACCAGTGGCACCATCGTGTTTCTCGCAAACTTTTATATAAGAATCAACAGTCAAATCGCAAATTCGTCACACATGCAACATCTCCATTGTCGATTCTTTACCACAGCTTCAAACGGAGAAATATCGGTAGTCGTCCATTCACGCCTCGCCCCTGCATGAAGCTGAGGTGATCACTCAGGGACGTTGCAACTGCAAAGTACGCATCGTTTTATCGCAATTGTTTCCCGGTTTCTCGAAAATAAAATTAGAACTAGAGATTCTGAAGCACCGCTACTGAGCTTGAAAAAAGTTGCGGGCTACATAGACAAACCGTCCGTTCCGGGCTCAGAGGCCGCAAGTTCCGGGTTCTGGAGCCGTAGTTCCGATCGCTCCAGATGCTACGCCTGGAACTTTCGACCTCTAAGCCCGGAACGTGGACGGTGCACTGGAAAAAAAAACACATTGCATCTAGAGTCCAGACTCTTGAAAACATTGACAAGAAAAAATACTCTTGATTCAATCAGATTTAACCTTAAATCAAAAGGAAATCCGCTCAAATTAAGAGGCTAAGTTCTTGATTTTAAGCTTAAATCTAATTGAATCAAGAGTCCTTTTTCTGGTCAATGTTTTCAAGGGTCTGGACTCCAGATCCAATGTGTTTTTTTCCAGTGTTCGAAAATAAAATTAGCACTGGAGATTCTGAAGCACCGCTACCGCACTGAAAAAAACGTAACAGGCTATATAGACAAACCGTCCGTTCCGGACTCAGAGGCCGTAAGTTCCGGGTGCTACGCCCGGAACTTTCGGCCTCTG